TCTATTTTATTTACCTTTGTATGGTCCTTGTTTGTGTTTGACCCAGGAAAGTGATGGAGAAAAGAGTGATGACAACTTGGTCGTCGACGTCTCCAACGAGGTATAAAATATTACCTGCACACTACCAGTCTACCATCCTGTGTGTTACCTGTTGAGAAAATGTGAATTATTTCGGTTTAATGCTGACAGGATCCAGTGTCTCCCCGAGGAAGTCCTGCACACTCTCCTCGGGAGAATGGGTTGGACAAAAGTCGCCTGTTGAAGAAAGACCCACCACTGAGTCCTTCCTCAATTGCTTCCTCCAGCAGCACACCTTCCTCCAAGTCTAAAGATATTAATATGGTGAGTCATTTGTGTAGCCTCCTTTTCATTTAATTTCTTTCAAGAAACCCTCTAAATAAAGGGTTGAACAATGCTTATTTGCTTCTGTAAAAATGATCAAATAGTAAATCTGGCAAACTATAAACCACATGAAAGATGTAAGATAAAATCCAAGAGATAAAGGACACTATTTGACATTTTTATAGAATATCAATTTAATGAGTCTTAGAATAAACTGATGCATGAATGCTCCTGCACTGTTATTATATTTTTTTTTTTAAAAAAAGCATAAAGATTTATTTCCATGTGTAGAAATCTTTCTTTTTTAATTTGTCCGGTAGAATGAGAAGTCAACAACTCCCGTGTCCAAGTCCAGCACTCCCACATCCCGCTCTGAAGCCCCCACACCCAGCAGTGCCTCCACCACAGGCCTGAGGTCTGCACCCAGTAAATCATCAGGAGTTGAGGCACTGAGTAAGTGTTGCAAGCATAACATAAAACATCTCTGCCTGCATCTGTCAGATGGTGGATATGACTCAGTGCAAATACATGTGTATATGTTTTTGAAAAAAACCCTATTACCATAGACTAGCTTAACAAAAATCTCTGTATTTAAGACTAAACCTTTGCTTTAAAGCAAAAAAAAGAACCTTTGTACACCACAGTTGAAAAAGATAGATGTTTGCGTCACAATCTGGCTGTCTTGTTTTGTAGCTCCTGGTCTTCGCACACCCCTGGCAGTGCCCTGCTCGTACCCTGGCCCATTCGGAATGGTTCCTCACCCTGGTATGAATGGAGAGCTGAGTGGAACAGGAGCAGCCTACACTGGCTTGCATAACATTTCCCCACAGATGAGTGCAGTGGCCGCGGCCGCTGTGGCAGCCTACGGACGCACACAAGTGGTACCTGAACACTCACAGATGCGTGCAGACAGCAGACGTAAACATTAGCTACATATTCTGTCAGTGTTAAAAATGTACTTTAAAGACAAAAATGATTTAGTGGAAAACAAAAAAAAACAATATATACACAAGTACACATACTTGCATTTACAAATATGAATATATATGTAAATACACACACATATGTGCTCAGATAAAACAAAAAAAGAAAATAAATAAAATAAAACAGAGTCTAAATGACATGAAATGACAATTATTAGGTCTGAAATGGAGTAGGAAGAAGTATAACATACTTATTAATCCCTACCCCATGCTTAACATTCTAATGATTAGTCAATTTTTTGCAAGTTATTCCATTTAGGTGCGTTTTTACAACAGTATTTTCAACCGTTTATGTCAGTTGTGAAATGAGAAACTGTCCTAAAATGGTAACCATGTATGAACAAATATTCTCTGTGTGATGACAATCTTTCACCAGGTAGCAGGTAAACACAGTACCGTTAACTACCATCCCCACTGAAACCATGCAAGCGTTTTTGAGAGATTAAAAACTAAACTGAATTAGAATAAAAGCTAAAAATGGTGGTCTCACCAGGATTTTATTATTATTTTTCAGTTGACTGTTGCTTAAATCTGCTTTGAAATGCTGGCATGTATCTTGTACCAAAAGTTTTAATTGGAAATTCACTTCCAGATAATTTAGGAGTACAACTTCATTCATAAAAAATGTATTTAGCATTTCAACTTTTAATTAGTTTTAAGATTAATCCCAATGGTATGCTTATGTTCAATTAGTAAGAAAATGCTTAAAAAACATTGCGCAAAAAAAGAAATAAAAACTGTTCATGGCGATGGTTGAGGAGGTTGAAGCAGGGCAACACGTGGTATTTACTCAACTAAAGAGTTGATGAGCAAAGCAAAACCTGCAGCTAAGGAGTGTGCACAAGGTAGAGCATAAAGACTGAACTGTTTCTGACATTATTATAACCACATATCATGATTCACAAAAAAAAAAGTCATTGCAGCCTTTGAAAAATCTCCTGCCTCTAGAGCACACTTACCAGGATTTTCCAATAATGCAAGAACAGGCGAGGGCACTTGTTTCTTATTTGACATGCTATTTATAAAACGTCCTTCTCTTAATTAATTTTAATCCTCCTGTTAATTCAAAACACCTTGATGTCTGGCAATTAATTCCTACTGGGTATCTGTAATGACCCAACACAAACAGTGGGAAAATCACTTAGGTTAAGTCTAGACTTTTCTGAGAGACAAAATAATTTCCACATCAGAGTGTTTTTTAAAAACACCTACTTGCGCTTGGTTTCTGCTTGAGTCATAGTTGGGATTAAAACTGATCGTTTGTTAAATTTATAAATGAGGTCGCTGGATGTAAAAACACACTTCCTTTCCTGTCACCTGTCACGTCACTATAAATGCCTTCCTGCCCTGCACACCTGACTTCATTCAAGTCTTCTATTTGTTTAAGCATTTTTGTATATTTTAAAAACGTCTCACTCTTGTGTTCTTTAGGTAGGATTTGATCCTCACCACCACATACGTGTTCCTGGACTTCCTCCTAACCTGTCGGGCATTCCTGGTGGAAAACCGTAAGTCTTGTTTAGTCTTTCTTAAATAGCATAATCATACTGAGAAAGTTCACAAGAACACACATTTATTCCCCTCTGCTTATGTTTTCTTACTTTTCTCTCATCACCCTTTATCACCTCACACGACCCTTTTCTTTTGCTTCAGAGCTTATTCCTTTCATGTGAGCGCCGACGGACAAATGCAGCCTGTGCCTTTTCCTCCGGATGCACTGATCGGCCCTGGCATCCCGCGCCATGCTAGACAGATCAATACTCTCACCCACGGGGAGGTGGTGTGTGCCGTTACCATCAGTAACCCTACACGTCACGTTTATACCGGCGGCAAGGGCTGTGTCAAGGTGTGGGATATCAGTCACCCGGGCAACAAGACCCCTGTTTCCCAGCTGGACTGCCTTGTGAGTGCAACACATTGGTCCTCATGTAACATACTTTTACAATACCACTTTTACAGCCACTAGTTGCTTGCATGTATACATTTCAACGACAGTTCTCTTTTGGCACATCAGAACAGGGATAACTACATTCGATCCTGTCGGCTACTTCCTGATGGACGAACTCTTATCGTTGGGGGAGAAGCGAGTACTTTATCAATCTGGGATTTGGCTACACCGACTCCTCGGATCAAAGCGGAATTAACTTCGTCTGCACCTGCATGTTATGCTCTGGCCATCAGCCCGGATTCCAAAGTCTGCTTTTCCTGCTGCTCTGATGGAAACATTGCCGTCTGGGATCTTAACAACCAGACTCTGGTTAGGTAAAGAACTGGGGAATGTAATTTAAGGTTATTGAATTATGCTGAACAAAAAAAAAAAAAATAATTAACCTGCTATTAAACCAAAACAGCATCACATGTTGGCTACACATTAGTTTAGTCAAGATGCTGATCTGGTTGATGTCAAGCCAACTTGAAAGAAAAACAGTATTGTTAGTTTGGTTTGTCTGTTTCTCTGCAGGCAGTTCCAGGGCCACACAGATGGAGCCAGCTGTATAGACATTTCTAATGATGGGACCAAGCTTTGGACCGGAGGTCTGGATAACACTGTCCGGTCCTGGGACCTGAGAGAGGGACGCCAGCTGCAACAGCACGACTTCACCTCTCAGGTACACATTTATACACGTACTGCACCACGTGACTATTGGGAGCGATCATAATGAAACAGTGTGGAATTTGTTCCACTCCTCCGGCAGCTTTCAGGTGTGTGTTCAGGGTTCAAAAATATGGGTTTTGCACAGACGTCTATTATTATTTGGTGGTAAAATGTCACAGATGAAAATTGTGCACCCCAGGACAAGTCACTGCCATTTGCAGTTTGTGTGATTACTGTCTCGGCTTTTGATTTATTGCAGTCATTTACAAGCCCAGTTCAGAACATTTAACCCACACTAAAAGCCCGGCTGAGCCCTGTCCTCAAATACTTTTAACACTAATAATATGTGCAGGTAGAATTTAGTTTTTTCCCCCTTGTGAGTAGAAAAGCAGCAATAATAGACCATTACTGCAATTTTCCTGAATAGAGCCATTTCAGTGTGCACATGAGGAGGTGAGTGTGCAGTAAAGAGAGCTCAGAGAGGACAGTCATGGCTGATAGAGTTCTTAGGCTTTCCAGTAATGTCAGGTCTAGCCCCGCTCCCCCCTGCTACAGCTTGAGCAAATCTGGAACCATTTGACAGAGAAAAGAAGTAATGGTTTACCAGATTTTTCAGCTATCAGTTGTATCCTGTGCATGCATTTTGCTCTTCCATGGTGTAAAAAAGGGATTTTTAAAAAACAATAAGGACTTAACTATTCATCTACCTCTTTGTAATGTAAAAGGTTGAGGTATGGGACTATGACATATTTTTGGAACATCTATCTGTGCCCACCTCCAATAGACAGATGCATACCTTACCCTAATATAAGAGATATACTGAGTATTATTTACACAGAATATAGGGAGACATAGCTGTCATTAAAATGGGTATGTTGGTGTTGGTTGCAGATCTTCTCACTGGGATACTGTCCAACGGGAGAGTGGCTGGCAGTTGGGATGGAGAACAGTAATGTGGAGGTGTTGCATGTCACCAAACCTGACAAATACCAGCTCCACCTGCATGAAAGCTGCGTGCTGTCACTCAGATTTGCGCACTGTGGTAAGCATAAACAACTTTATTGAGATGATTCTGTTGTCACCAGTATTTTGCAACATGAAATGAATATATGTGCCAGGTCTTGAGATGTTAACGATGAGATAATGGTTTAGCACCTGAGCGAGCAAATTAACCTTCACTTAAATAATTTACTTTGGCTTTTAAAGATTTAAAGCGTTTTTTCGTTGCCGTAGTCTAATGCAGTTGTCGATCCTCTGCAGGGAAGTGGTTTGTAAGTACAGGAAAAGACAATCTGCTAAATGCATGGAGAACCCCATATGGAGCCAGCATATTCCAGGTAAGTGGGCAAGAACACAACCATGGATGAAAGGCAACTGAGAGGCCAAGTGCAGCACAGCGTAATAGCCAAGAGTTATAGATTTTAGAGATATAACCCAGGTAGAGATATCAAACACCGCTTTTGCTCACTGATTGTAAAGTTTAGCTATCAGGGTTCTATATTGAGGACCCAAGAGTATGACACAAAAGACAGATGGTAAAAAGCAAAAGATGAGCTTTAGTCACACAAGGAGATTCAAGGTTATTAAAAAACAAGCACAGGGAGCAACTGATGCAGAATCCTGGGCACTTACCGTTATTTCTAAAAAAAAAAAAAGACATACATTGGGACTAATCTGGTGCAAAACGGAATTGAGCAGCAGAACACCAAAGAGCTAAAGCAGTAGGTAATGTGAGACTGGGAGTAGCCTGCTGATGGGGCTGATTATATGAATGAAAACATTTGAGAGGAACAGGGAAGAACAGGTGATGCAGAAGGTGGGAAACTCAAGCAGGTGAGAATCAATTATGGGAATAAATAAACTGGACTGAATGAAATACTAGATTAAAAATAAAAAACACGCAAGTGGGGGTGTTATTTCTTATTTTTAATAAAAAAGGTAAAATAAGAACTCTTAACAAGTAATTCTTGGATATTCCTTGGATGAAATTACTTTCCTAATGAAAATACAACAGTCTGTATGACTGAACTTTTGCAGCTATAGTGAGTTCAACAACCTTCTGTGGCTTTACAATAACAAGAAAGTCGTGTGTCTGCGTAGCCTTCATCTTTCTCGCCCTTTTTATACATTTTCTTGCATCTTTTATTCCCCCGACAGTCAAAAGAATCATCCTCTGTGCTGAGCTGTGACATCTCCATCGATGATAAGTACATTGTGACGGGATCAGGAGATAAGAAGGCAACTGTCTATGAGGTCATCTACTAATAGCTGTGCTTGTTAAACAAGAAGGCCATCCTTCCATCCAACCGTGAGGTCTCCCTCATCTGTGTAAATTTTTTTTATGTGTATAGGATAAACCTAAAAGGAACAAACCAAACATTTTCTTGGACCATGACTTCCTGACCTTCTGGCTAGTCGAGGATCAAAACCAACAAGCGGACCCAAGCACAGATCTTTTTTTTTTTCCTTTTAAGTGACTTTGTGTTATTGTGAGGATGAGTGAATGCTGTTGGGCTGTTAACATTCCTTTATGTTACCTTTCACTTAAGCCTCTTATTTCATTTTTCTTTTTTCAGTGTGTAGACTGTAAAACAAGCGTTACTGTTCACATACATACTAATCTGCCTGTGGACTTTATACATACATGGAGACTAAAATGTATGCAAACTAGGTGGCAGATCAGAGCCGTAGTGCTTCTGGGCTACTCTGGAATATCAACAGCCAACCTGCACACAACTAATGCTGATGGTGTAAATAAAGGGGCAACAATTTGGTTACTTTTTTGCCATTTATATTGCCATGTGTTTTGAGTCTGCAGCTGAGCTTTCTTCACATTTTGACACCCCCTCATTATTTCTGTGCTTAACTGCATCCTGCAGATGTGTCGCCTTAATTGTGACGATGGCACATTCATCCAAAGGGTGCAGGACACACAAAAATATAGCACTTGCGCACATGTAAATGGGTTTTTCAAGCAAATATATCAGAGGCTCCGTTTTTTAAATGGTATCGAAATGTGAGACAGTATATTCATCTTTAATTTGTTAGTTATGGCTTGAATTCATGTACAGTGTGTTATTTCATCACACTGATTTTTCCTTCTTTGGGCTATGAAGATATACACCTTTTTCTTTTTATTTTAAATAACAGTAAGAAAAAGCTTCCACCTGTGAAAAACATCAACAAATTTCATAACAATCTATCTAAAAAGGTTGTGTCAGACCCGCTTAAAATAGTATTGTCCATCAAGAATTACTTTAGAATAGTTTCTTATTAAACATGTTCATATATTCAGGCTTTTTTAGAGATAAGATTGATTGATTGATTGATTGATTGAAACTTTATTTTGAACATGTTAAAAAAGTACAACAACATAGAATTAAAAGAAACAAATAAACAAAGCAAAACAAAAAGAAAACGAGCAACCACAACTACAAATAACTTTCATGTTCAAAAAGATCAATAAGACTTTCTGAATGCTAGATGCAGCCAGGAGGACTTAAGCCTGGCTCAGATTAGTATGGATACTCAACTATGCCTACTACAAAATATCTGGTCATTGCTGTGAGATTTTCAGGCAACAAGAATGTACACCTAAAAATATCTGGTAAAAGAACACTGCATATGAATATGCAAAATTTGGAGACAAGGGATGATATTTCAGGTACCACAGGCTTTCCGGTTACCATGTGTAGGTAGAATTGATCTATTACTCTGAGGAGACACTGGTTGCATATACATAAATGGTCCAAAGTATCCTATTAAATACAATCTAGAAACTACTAGCTGTAGTCTAATGAGATAATGATCATGGTTTTTGCTTCATTTGTAATTAATGGCTATACTGGATGGTCCAAACTGTTGGCTATTGTTCCATCAGGTGATAAATGAAAGGGTTCCTAGACTAACAGAGTGTAGTGCTGATCTTCTAATCCATTCATTCCCAAACTTAAAAATATTGCCAAACAATTTGAAATCTTAAAATTTTGTGCGACCAGCCAAAAACAATAATCACAGCTCTCATCAACACATCAATTGAAGACAAAATAGGTATTTATTTAGGATTTTGTCTCTATTATTTCCGTTACTCCATTTGTCCCTTTTCCCAACAACGACGAGTTAGAAAATACACAAAACATAGGTAGAATAAGCCAGTAACTTAATTCATCAGCTTGACTTTATGAGTATATATATGAGTTCTGGTTATGTTTTAAAATGTAAATATATAATCATAAAATATGATCACAAATACTGTTTGGGGGCGTTTGGTTTAGGGCAGGCAAGCCCTTTCAAGAGCCAATTGAAATACCTTTGAAGGCCACAAGGAGGCAGCCACAAACGCTTTGGGAAATCACAGCTCTGATCAAAATCTTTGCCAAAAAAAAAAAAAAGAACTGTTCCTTTAAATACCGTTGTTTGTTTACCTACAGCATCATTTTCTACCTGTGTTCTTGAATTTGTTCTTGTAGTTCAGCTTCTGAGTGAAGTAAGAGCTGTTTGTGTGTGCGCGGGTGTGTGTGTTTATTTCTGTATTTTCGACTCTGTGGGCACTGAACAAACTAACAGAATTGCCCTCAATGCCCTCTCTACTGACTGACTTTTGCACTGTCTCTGTCCCTTAGCTCGGACTTCTCTGGATGCTCGCTGGCTTCCTACTGATAGATTTCAGTAAAACTGATTTATTGGTGTTTGGAGGTCAGTCACTCCAGCCTGGATTTTCTGTTAAAACCTTTGGGAAAAACAAGTGGTCAGCGATGTGGTCTTGATTTCTCTTGGATTTACGTCTGTTGGCTTGTAAAAATAACACAGTGCCTTTACGCTATACTTCTGCCCTCCTTTTGTCCTGCTGCGTTCAGTTACATACGCAGAACTGAAATGTGTCTCCTCTGTTGGAAGTGTTTTTGAGTGTCTTGGAACATTTAAGGATCCTTTTTAATTACAAGGATCATTTATCAACAGTATTGCTGAAATGATCACAAATTTCCAGAACCAAACTTTATTTCAAACACTTGGAACACACTATTGACCAGTGGAGTTAACCAGAAAAAATAACTATTGGAGTTAAAAAGTGTTTATTCTTTGATATTTGTTGCTGTTTTTAAGCTTTAAAAACTTGTTTGTTGCTTGTAATTCATTTGTGTTATTACCTAGTTATAACATCAGTCCCACATCGCATTAATCTACAGGAACGTAAACACAACACTATAAGTTATTAGCACAGATTTATGTCACCAAGATTCTGACCTATAATCATCCAATCAGGATGGATGCCAGCTTATCCTAAACAGGCATTTTAAACTTTCTTACTAAACCTAACTATCGGGAGGCATATGTTAAACAGTAATAATTTTAAATTGAGTGCCTAAACCCAATCTCTTGGTTTAGCTACTGCCAGTAACTTTTGTTAGGTTAGGTTAGTTTGATATGAGATTTTTAGTACTTTGGAGTAATTTGGCAACAAGAAAGATTGATATAGACTCGCTTTGTGTATGTACTAGTAGTGCCTGTCAGAATGAATTTGAAGACTATGAATGAAACTGTTCTTATATTACTCAGATCCATCCTGTACTATTGCTGAATTCATCTTTTTCCTTTTGAGATAAATGACATGTTGCCAGCAACGTATTTCGGTAACTCATTGTTTACGCTTTTTGCTCTCATTTCATGAAATGGGAGGGGGGAAAAAAGAAATGTGACCACATTTTTTAAACTACTGTAAATGACTGCTTTACTTTGAAAACTGATAAAGCACTCATGCTTAGTGTTAACCTGCCTGAGATCTACCTACCTATCTTATTTTAATAAGCTCTTAATTAGGGATGTACTGATATATCGGCAGATTGTTTTAGGAAAAGAAAAGTTTAAATTAAATACATTATATAGAAGCATGTTGGCTATGTGGCAGATTGAAAGAAAGCCTTGTAATAAATGCACTGATCTGAATACAAAAAGACATTTTACAGTATGGTATGTTGAGCTGACTGGATTTGATACAGGAGAGACTGTATTGAAAATAATTTACTGTTATGGCTGTTTTTTGTTTGTTTTTTTACACAGACACTGTACATTTCGAAGGTGGTTATAAATATGTTTTTTCACATTCCTGTTTGCTAAATCCAGCTATGCTTTCTGATCAAAATGACGATTCATTCACTTTGCTGTCTTGAGTGCTCTTTTGCGCTTTCTGCTCTTGAATGAATAAAATCCGGTGTCACCTCCTTGTACTATCTTCAGTCTTCATCTAGATAAAACATTAAAAAGGAAAAAAAAAGGAAATGCTCTTTGGTTGTAGTCGCTGTCATGTCAAGAGTCAAATCTGAATGTTACTCATCTTATCTGACTGCTACATGTTAGAAGGCTAACAAGATCTGGCACAGAAATGTTGTTAAACAGTAATGATGTGTAGAGCATTTAGCTTGACTGGCTATAACTTTACTGTAAACATGTAATTATTCGAGCTTACAGCAGAAACTTCCTGTTACTAGTTGAGCTTTTTTCATTCAATACAAAATGCCTTTGCTCTCTTTTTTCTAGTCTGTGCTTGAATTTATTAAATTACTGTGTGGACTGTTTTGTCTGAGCCTCTTTTACTGTTTAAGCTAGAAGTCTGTAGGACTTGTATTGTTTAGGTTCTATTGTATTACCAGATAACATAGTTAATTGCAATTAAATTCCCCCCCAAAAAAACACATTGTAGTTGCACTGGAAAAGCATCAGAGAAAGTGTAAGATTTATTGCTACATATTGCAGCAAAAGTATTAGTGGCAAGGATTTGAGAGATTTGGGTTTCTTCTGCCAATCAAGCAAGGGATCTTTCAGTTGTTAGGTGAATGTCTATGGAGCTGCTATATTTAACGTATTAGGGACTATGTGAAATATAACAATAAGTAGATTTTCCCTACAATACCTGTGTTAGTGGCACCTTGCACTTTTGTATTGCACTCAGTCTAAAAACATTTTTTTAGATAAAGCAACCTACAATAAGAAAATGTTGTAATTAGTTATACTTGTTAATACTAATGGGCATTAGTATTCCTCACCCCTAACTGTAACTATTCAGTGCAAATGTAAAACCCAGCCACCGCTTGTCTATACATATGCAATGCTGGGATAACTCTTTGAGTTAAATTACTAACCCTAACCTGGAACGTCAATCAAGAAATACTGGTCTGCGCTATTGTACTGTTTTTTTCTGGTGAACAATAAACAGTCAGGGAATTCCAGATGAGTGAACATCCTGTGTATTACTTTTGGTTCTCTAAATTGTTCTGATGGATGGACTGAGACTGGAGGACAGTCATTAAAATAGTTTTGGGGTTTATTCATTTAAAATTACAAATGCCCAATGTAGATAATAATAATTTTAATAATTTTTGTCCATAAATCCATTTCCTTCCATTTATCCAATTCAGGGTTGTGGTTGGAGCCTATCCCAGCTGTTACTGGGCAACAGGCAAGGTACACCATAGATATATCTTTTAAAAGAATTAGTTGTGTAATGCACTGAGAAAGGTTAACTGACGCGATGTGGGATATACCCAAAGAAAGTGCACTCAAATTGTCAGTTTTGTTGAGTAGATTACATGGGATTGTTTTTATGACATGCGGGTCAATCACTTGTGTCTCATTTTAAACTGAAAATCTAAGCTGCAGTTTGCAGCTTTTGTTTAACTGATTTAACATTAAATCTACTATCTTTACATTTTAAAACCTGGTTTAGAATCCTCTTTGCACCGAACTGATAGAATTTAATTGAATAAACTGGTCAAATAAAGTATCCAGTGTGTCCACTGTTGCTTAGAAATCCCACATATTCACTGATTTTAAAGTATTCCTAGGACACAACCATCTATGTTCATTTTAAAGTATACTGTGTGCCCAAAAAAATATATTTTACCAGAAAAGATCCTGATTTTGACTGGAGTGTGTAGCAGGCCTTCTCTACATCCATATTAAATGAGCTGCGAGAAACAAGGGTTTCGAGTGTTTTAGTGTGGCATTTTAGTGCAAACTGACAGGTCAGCGTCTCACTCTAACCTCCCATTGTGAACGTGCTGTGTTCACACAGTGCACAGCACTGGACTGCTAAAGTGGATTAAGTGATCTAAGTGAGGGCTGTGGAGGAGGACGCTCCACCATTACAGTGAATGATACTCCTGTTACAGCTCTCCAACCAGTACTTCACACAGCCAAAAGTGGGAGAGAAGGAGGAAAGGTGGGGATGCAATGTGGGAATGAGCCACCCTACTTCAACATTTTATATTAAGAGCTCTTGCAGCATGCAAATTGCCCACTTTCCTGACAGACACAGAAGCTGGATTAAACAAACAGGCCACACAATAGCAACATGGTGTTAGTGTCCACGTGGTGAATCACACTGTTGCTAGATATGGCTCATAAAGCAAGATATACTTTGTAACAAAACTGCATATTTCGATATCTAAAATAGGTATGTTTGTGACCACAGATTTACATTTATTCTCTTTCTAAAAACCGTTAGGATTCCAATAATCCGGGGTAGACTAAAGGACGGGACTGAATTTGATCAAGCGAAGGGCCACACACTGGATAACAAAACTGTGGTTACAGGTTTTAGTCGAAATTTTACTAACATAAAAGTAAAATCTGTCTAAATTATATGTTAACATTTAATTTATCACACGTCTTTAAAGTGATATCAGTGATATCACTGCAACTGAGTTAACAAGCTGTGCAGACTCACTGCAGTCATTCACCTCGATTCTGTTTCCAGCCCTTGCACCATATTTGCCCATGTGTGTCATAGTCTGTAGGCATAATGTTCGCAGAGTACCACTTAACAGAATCATTGCAATACTCTGCTGACTTCGCACTGTCAGAATTGCTTTAATCAACTCACTGTTTTACAGCACTAGCAGTACACTCTCGAAAATCTAGAGGATTATAGTAGCCGAGTGAATATTTACTGCAGTTCCAAACAAAGACTGTGAGGGTGTCCTTCAGGACACAGTTCACTAGAAACACTGTGCAAAAGCTCTGCGATCTACTTAGGAAAAGGGATTCTTTAAGCTAGCATCAGATAACAATGTTTAGCAGGATTAGCATTTTAGCTTTGCATGCTAAAGTTGGAGTTTTTAAACTGAAAGTATGTTGATGCTAATAAATTTTCAATATACTTTGTCAGAAACAAAGTTACTAAACATTTATTTTGTAAATTAATCCCACAGTGATAAATAAAATGAAACTTAAAATTTCTTCTGAGTGTAACAGGCAAGTTCTTAGTTTAGTGACAGTACAACAAACTGTAGGAACAGTTTCCTGAAAATTAAAAGTTATGGGAGAAATTATCTCTCAGTCGGGATCAATCTATTACCAGACAAATCCAGAGTTCTTCTCTGTAAAAACAAAGGACATCAAATGACTTTGCCAAAACCCCACAGAAATGAAACTGTAGATAGATATCAAATAGATAACTGACGTTAGCTCAAGATATAAACAAGGTACAAACATATATGCAGACAGATATGAGAATAAATAACTCATAAAATAAACTTAAACCATACTAAATCAACTACACATGCCAGTTTTAAGAATTACTCTATGGTTTATTCATTCATATTCAACAATTTATTCAGGCACAAAAGCTCTTATGGTTAACTTTAGCTTTTATTTTCATTTCTTAACAAGCCTCATCATCTGGATCATGTTAAATCTGAAAACAGGGGCAAACTTTAGCAGAAGTCCTTCAAAGTCCAGTGTGCAAGCCAGATGATCAGAGGTAGGTTTGGTGGGTGTGTTACGCAATCAGCAGCAATGTGCATGCAAACTCTACTGTTTCCATAAGACACTGCATGTGCGTCTTTAGTCTTCTATTTCTCAGAGGACACCAAGTGCACAAAGGGTATAGAAATGCCAAAGTTTAGGCTTACTGGGACTATATCAGTGTTACTGTCTTTTATGGCCATGCATTTGGCAAAATCTTTGATTGTCATATCTGACTTACTAATTTTCATCTTATTCCATTTTCTGCCTTGCCTGTACCGTCACATCTATGAAAAAGATTGGATGAGACTACACAGGAGTCAGCAAGTCCATTAACTTATCTGGGGAAGAAAATTTGAGAGTGATTCTGTAATGAGATGACAGATTTGTAAGAAGCTTTATACTTTTGAGCGACTCAAAAGCAGCATTTCTCACAACAGCTGATGCTGCTAACAATTTCCTGCCCTGTTACAGGGTGGACTGATGATTAATTCATATCTCTGCCATCTTAACAAGGTTGTGCCCGTTAGTGGGCGAGAGGGGTGGGCACACTCCGCAGGGCTTTGATATCCTACATTCAAGGCTGTGTCACACATTAATGACTTCTTTGAGCTATGAAACGAGCGTCATTATCTCTTTCCAAAAAGGGAAAGATGAGAGATTTCAGCTCAACTTGTATAGAGACAGGGGAGGAATCAGTCATCATGTACTGACTATGTCTGTGTATGCGTGTATGTGAGACACTTCAGCACAGGAATTGGACCTGAGTCAGAGGATGGAAAAGGTAGATTTTGGTGTGTATAGATCTACATAAACCAATCAAGTTTTGGAGGAAAAACATTTAGCTACATGAGTCGAGGGCAGCACAGTGTAGAGGTTAGCACTGTCGCTACTGTTCCCTGGGAAAGCACAGGTCCTTCTGTGTGTGTTTTCATGTTCTCCTGGTGCCTGGTCCAAAGACATCCATGTTTAATTCATTACTGACTTTACATCAGCTGAATGTGTGAATGTACGCTATGGAATGAGTTGTCTGTTTTCAAGTGTTAGGCCTGTGACAGACTGACGGTCCATCAAGGGTGTAGCCCACCTCCTCCCTGATAACAGTTGGGATAGGACCCAACCCCCCTGTGACCCTGAATTGGATGAGCATAAGAAAATGGATGGATGGAAGATAACCTTGATATCTCTGAGGATCATATTGCATCTGCATCTTTTAGGGCTGTAATCAAAATCACACCAAAAAAAAAAAAAATCAAAGTTCAACTTATTCAAATATCTGATTTATAACTACCTCAGAAATTATGCCGGAGCGTGCTTGAGTGACCTTCCTGTTAGTTGATAAGGTGGGAGAATTTACATCTGTATCATGAGTTGGTTCATGACTTGAAGTATAATTCCAGAATAATTCATTTCAGCTGCTGCTTGAACTGCCATAGAAGTCTAATCACTCGGAAAAAAATGGACTGGTCAGGGCAAAGTTCAGGCAAAACAAGGATAATGGTGGCTTTTATTCAAATATACCAGTAAGCAATTTCAGTGAGTCAGCATGAGCAGAACCCTGACCCCAGCTCACCTGAATGGAACTAGCTCACCTAATGTTATTATCTGCGCTTTTCTGATTAGACTGTGAAAAAGTAAAAACAGCTGTAGCTTTTATCTAAAACCAATTTGCTTGTGTATTGAAATCTTTCAGTGCCCAATCTTTGGATTTGTGCAATATGCTGCCAACAGGAGGTTAATCATTGTGATTTTGAAATAAATAGCTCAAAAACTGGAGTATCCCTGGATCCATGAAGGGATAAGCTGCAGTACATCTGAT